GACTGACTCTTCGAGTAGTTGGTGTAGTACACGCGAGAGACTGGCCTATTACATCAGCCTAACAGGCCGCCCGACCTCGTCTCTCTGGCCTGAATTTCGATTTCTCTGTGCGCTCGGCTTTTTTCCTCTGTTTTTGCTTGGCTCGCATTGGCGCAACTACGTGGGACGGCGAATCGGAGTCAACTCGACACAGATGATTGAAATTTTCCCACCTGGAAATTCTTTCCAGGAAAAGAACCCTCGATCGGGACCGCCTGATTTCTGGGCGAAGGCGGGCGCGAGATATGTGCAAGAGCGCAAGTTTGTAGAAAAGCGTGCGAATGTAAGGAGTGAGCGTTTTTCAGAGAGAGGATCTTCGAGCTTCTCTCCGCTCAAGTTATGAATCCATGGATAGAACAATACGACTAGCCTCGATTCTCAATGACACCATGACATTCCTCAGACGCGAAGTATCGAAGCTCGAGAAATCGTTCAAGAGGCTCCATGGCGGAACCCCAGTTCAGCGGGATTAAAAATGATATCTCGGCTCGGCGGACCTTCAATTAATGTTTTGTAATTCTTCTTGTAATTCTCGTCCGCGATCAGTGTACGCTGTATAATAAGATCTTCAGCGTAAGCGCAGTCATCATCACGACTAACTCCGTCATCTCTTTTTCTCAAATTGAAATGAAGAATCACGCATCGCTACTGGCACCGACTTGGAAATTATCCCCGATTCGACACAGTCCGGTGAACGGTCGACGTACGTCTGTTTCGTCGTTTTTTTCTCGTGGACTTTCGATCAAACAACGACCGCCTGAAAGGACCTGAGCCGGGAACGCGGTACAGAAACATGTAACAGCCGAAGCAGATACTGAATTTCACTGACACCCGTCATCCGACCGTGCGTTCCCTAGTGGATTTTGTTGAGGACTGCTTGAAGGTCATTCGCAAACTCTCGTACAAGATCGCGCACAAGACGATCCCAACATCTTCTCCAAACCGCTTTCTGGGATGCTTCACAGTGAGCGGATGCATTTCATTGCGAAAGCCTCTCCGGTCATCCGGAGTTCTCTGGAGCGCAAGTTTTATAGGCCTTCCCTAAGAGTGTTGTAAAGGCGCTCTGAGGCGGACCACGTTTTCAAGATTGGAACCTTGTTCGCGACCGTCGTCGCTCCCCGTCGTCAACGGGTATTTCCGTACCTGAGTTCATTCGCGAGCGACTCCTCGAGAATCATCTCATATTCTCGATACCCCGCTTAGTCAATCGAGGAGCACGAGTCGAGGTCGAAGATTTCCGCCAACAAGATCGGAAGGGGGCGTATGCTCTCCCGTCAAGTTTTTCGCGCTCGGAAAGCTCCGTTTCGTCCGGCAAGAGTTCCCAGACGAGCTCTTAGTGCTGGCCTCGAGTCGAGACTCTGTATTCTTGAGGAGTCGCATCGTGTACGGAAGGGACCCTGTCTGACTACCTGGAGTCCGGAAGAAGCTCTGTCTCGCTTCCGGTACAATCGGAGGTAGGAATTCGCCATTCAAGAAGCATCTGGATTCTCGAGCAGCTCGGCTGTCAACGTCGCATCATGCGACCATGCGACTCGCATGGTGTGAAATTGATCAAGTATCCCCCCTCGGGAATCAGGAAGAATGGAAATGCGATTCAATTTAAACAAAACCGTTTACATTGTAAACATTCATTTATTTTGTCTCTCGCCTTCTTCAGTCTCTGAATGATATCGCATACACCCTCCATCGGATCTCGGCACCAAGTCCGAAGGATCAACGGAATCACATTCTCCCTAAACGTTTTCTCTATACCCTTTCACTCCTTCAATTGTATTAACATCACTTATCGTCGCTCCGGTCATAATTATTGCCATTATTCCTCTTTTTCATTGAGGTAATCATTCTCATCATTATTATTATTATTATTGTCATCTTCATTATTCCATCTAGTGATTCTGCCTCATGTAGTCTGTTACAAATCGCGGGACAGAGCGCTACGGACAACTTCCAGGCAGTCTATTGGTCAGCAGCGGATTCCTCTCGCCATCTCCCCGTTTCGAATAATTTCACAGAAAGATCTATCTCCTTGAGAATTGGACCAATCGATCCGCGTCGAAACAGGACTTCTCTCGACTATGGTACGAATTTCGGGAAGACGCAAAAGTCAAGTATTTGGGGGTGGTTACGGCGCGGCGCCTCGTGCTCGGCTCACCGTGAAATCCTCGAGGAGTTTAGCCGAAGGGCTCGCCGTACCACCGCTCGCTTGCGCACAAATTCTCACACACACACGGTCGTTCGCTCAGTCATAGTAGGAGGCTCATTATGAATTTATCTCGACTCACATTATGTACAACAGAAGACCGAAAACCGAGTGGGTTGCCTGATGTGTTGAACGCGAAGTATTCCCGTCCTCATGCCGCGGGCCTCGAAGTACCGTGACGATGGGAATGGTCTCGCGCTCGGTATATAAACTATAACTTTTTTTTCATCAATCACAACCAAGCAGTCTGTTTATCCAGCCGACAACCTGCTCCGGCATCGAGCCGGATCGGCCTCGAGGTTTTGTTGATAAGCTATCGGTTTTCGGTTGAGGGTCTCCAGGAGTAAGGCTCGCTCGCGCGACTTCACCGAATTGCTCTCTAATACCTTGTCACGATAAAGCTCTCATTTAATGGTGGGACGCCGCTTCCAGGAGGTCCCTAACAAGTGACCACAACAATCGGTCGAGATTCTCACCCTCGCTCGCTCGCTCCGATGCATTTCGCGGAGCTCGCTCCATCGTTCTACCATTTCTCTTTCGCCTCTCGCTTCGCTCTAATATTTCATTTATTCTCGCATAAGCGTTCGGTAGAATTGTTCGGGTGTTCTGTAAGAATAAATATTGCATACTCTAAACCACAAGTAACAACGAGTCTCCGGCGTAGCGGCGAGGAGACCATGGTAATACTCTATAAAATATTATTCGTTTGATTGGCACTTTCGATGCATGCTTCACTACCTCATCGTGTTTACCGCCGACGAATGGAGCGGAACACAGAGAGGAAATAGCGACTTTCCGTTGTACGATCAGACCAAGCGCGCTTCAGGTTCGAGTCGATCGAATCTGGCTCGAGATCGACCTCGAGAAAGAGATAGGAGCGGGTCCTCCAAGAAGGAGATTTCGGGAGGAAAGCGAAAATTTCAGGAAGTCATCCAGAAGAGGCCGCATTTGAGAGAGTTCGGGTGGAAAGGAGTATCCGAGTTTTCACCGATCACGGGGGTAGAGGTACCGATGGTAATTCGTCGCATTCGTGCCTCAGCACATTCTTCAGTCATTCAGTCGCTACCGAATCGCTCACTCTTCTTCCTCCTCGCTCGATTCTCAATTTTCCCACTCAGACATGAGAGGAATAGCGTTATCATTACACAATGCGGCGGAAAACCTGAGGAAAGATTCCTAATTTGGGATGCTTGTCGATGGAGGATCCATATGCGTTCCTTCGAACGCCCGGGAAGCCAAATCTTCCTTTTGAGAGAGTCTTGAGCTGATTGAGATCCGGGAAGTTCCTCATCATCTTATGTGCTGATGTCATCGAGCAACAAATGTATTCCCCATGTGGAACGACCCTCGGTAGAGCTGATGCGGCGAATCGCCCTGCTGATCCGTTCATTTGAATCCTCTGAACTTATTCCAATGTGGCTAATGAATTAAGGCTAGAGCTCACCGGAGAGCGCCTCGCACGCCCGTGTCACAGATCCCCCTCGAAGCCCATCCCAGTCGTCCCTGATATTCTCGACCTCCATGAAGTCGAAACAGCAGAAAACACGAGGATGACGGACTGGGAAGATCGAATTTAGCGATTGTCGTTGTTCGATTGAATGGCGAATCCTTTTGAGTGGAGATTCCCGTTCTCGACGTCGCGTCGTCGTTATCTTCCTCCTTCTCTTTCGACTCCTCATAGTCGTCGACTACCGCGGCTTTCGATTCGAATATTCCCGAGCATCTGCCGGCGAAAGTTCATCGCGAACGTCGACTTCGGGAAAGTAGTTGAGATCCACAGGAGCGGATTGTTCTAGATCATGAAGAACGGGGGCAGCTTCAGATCAGGATCGAAGTCCATCAGGGGATCACTAGAAGTGCCATCTAACGACGAGGGTGAACACGATGGCGATGGCTAGAAGTCAGGTGAATTTTTTGAATAAATTACGATCATAAACACGAGTTTCTCCTCTGAAGATTTAAGCACAGCAAGGGTAAGTAATGCGAAGCATTCGGTTAAAAGTAGAAAGATCACTCGGCCCGGCCTCGAGCGCCGTTCCCACCGCCAACGCTGAGGATTCTACAACGTTTGTCGGCCTCGCGATACGATCACGTCAAGCGGTTGCACGTCTGACGGAGCGGCTGGTCGATCGGTCGGTCTGGGCCGTTCCACTGGTCGGTAACAAACAGCTCTTTCAACTGACGAGTTTGCTCGTTTTCCGGACGTAGAACGTCGCCGGAATTCCCAAAACCGAACACTTCCGATATTCACAATTGTTTGACAGTCTCTCCGCGATTCTCGGAACCCCTGTTGGTTAGCCTTTGCAATGGCTCCCTAGATATCGAGGGTCTCGGAATAACGAGACGAAAGCACGCTGGTCCTGGATTTTCCGGAAATAACCCGCAGCGAATCGGGAAGGATATAGATTGAAAAGTTCACCCATCCCGGAAGCAGTCCTTGGCGATCGGCACCTCAACTCGAGTCTCTTTGTTAGCAAATTCCGGACAATGCAACGATGTTCTTACAGGATTCAGCTATCCCTACGAGCCCTGGATCGACAGTCTTCCGAGTCGTTGTGACAAGCTTGGTACTCCCGCGCGAGCCCGAAAACATGGTTCTCGCGGATCACTCCGACGGGTTATAGGTAAGCTTCGAGCAAGCGCTCAGAGGTCCCGGTGGTCCGGGTAGTTAATAGCAATGAGCGAGCAGTGTAAAGAAATCGGAACAATGAGTTTCCGAAAGGGACAGGGTTCGACGTGAAGGGAGAGAGCTAGAACCTACCTTGATGTCTTCGCTAGAGCTCTCCTGGTTGAGGATATTGTAGGAGAGGTCGGTCTCCTCGTACCCTGTAGCAGCCATGCGCTGGTCCGCGGGATTAACTGAGTTTTCGTCGGGCGAATTCAAGCACGTCTGTATAAGCTGTTTCCCCGACTCGGAGGTGATCATCGGTTGAAGTTTTCGAGTGGCGAATGTGTAGACATGACCAGTCTCAGAAGCAACGAGAAGCATCACTTGGGTCCCCGTCAGTGTTGAGAGTTCGTACGCCTGTGGAAAAAATGTCGGATATTTATCCTCTCGCTCGAACAGTAAAGGGACATCTCGCTAATCCCTCTTAGTACTGCCGAACATAATTCCCCGCGAGGAGTAGGAGAGTAGATGATCTTCGACAAAGCCCGCTGACGAATTCGCTCATGGAGAAGCGGAATCGCATTTACAGGATTCAGGTCGTCGATAGGTGACCCTGCGGATGCGCGAGGGAGACCACTCGATGATACTTTCCCTATTCAGAATAGGCGGGGGAGTACAGCGGGAACGTCGGAAAAGCGACCGTAGATCCTCTCCGGGACATTCTCCCGTGAATCGCGGGAGCAAGTGTCTCGAAAGGGATTCTCAATCTCTTCTAGTCCCATAGAAGATGGGAAATCTTCGAGATCTAGCTCGGCGTCGAAACAAAAGGAACACAAACGCAAAGACCTCCGCGCCGCTGTGGAGACACCATTGAATGTTTTACTCGCGACAATATTCAGCCATCAGATACTCCCACGTGAAGCGAGACAGAGTGTTCGGATAAAATCCAAAAAGCAATCGAGTTCCTAAACGATCAATCGATTGGCTCACAGCATGCTGAACAGGCTCAGAAGTCAAGACTCCGATGAATTTCCTCTGAGATCTATGCCACTCGTCTGATCTGATCCCCGATAGAATAAATCGAAGAGCTTGGCACACGGGACTGGAGCACGAGTAAAGCACAAATTCACGAATCGAACTCCGAATGCAGTGACGGCATCCCGACGAGACACTGTATCCGTGAAGGCACTCTTAATCCTAGGTCCTGGGGATTGGAGATTTTTCCTGGAATCGAGAGCTCAAGGCACGAACCTTTTTCATTATTCCAGTCTTCCTCTTCGAGAACGTTGTGTATCGACGGAGTTTGTTGGGGATGAATTCCATTTTTATTTTAACTCGGCCCTTGGTCTTCTTGCCATTAGGAGGCGCTTGGGAGCTTGGGGCTTGAGACCTCTTCGCCACGACCACTTGAGAGGCTGGTGAGGTCGAGGGACCCGGAGGATTGTTCGGAACTCTCTGGTCTTGTGGAGTTGACGGCTGCATCGGAGTGAGTTCTGGCTCTTCGCTGAGCGAGCTGCGCTTCGAGAGGAGCATGTTCGGATCCGCGGTAGCCGTCAGACCATGGTCGAAATTGATTCCGAGTGATTTCAAGTCATCCATGTTATACGTTTGCATGGAGTTCAGAAAACTCTGGAGAGTTTCTGAGTCGGCGTTCGTGATCATGGCGGCTCGATTCGCTTCCGGCCGCGTGAATCACTCGGTTCTAATGCTACGTTCGTTTCACTGATTTGGAGGTAGTCGTTGTGCGAGTTTTGATCCCTCGTTCGACTGAATTCGAACGGCCGACTGTTGACACTACGATGCCGGCGTGAGGTTCGACTTGTTCGAATCGTTTACTGAGAACTGTCACTATTGGGGCACCCTCCCCACACGAGTGTTTCGAGTCAACTGAATGCTGCAGTTCTCTTCACACAGATTTTATTCACTGCATTACAAGACACAAACTCACTGCTCTCTCACATCGTTCACCAACACATCGTCATGCTTTCTTCTCTCCACATGGAAAGCCCGCCCCGCCGCCGGCTCGGCGGGTGCACTAGTCGCCACGAGGCACATCGAATAAGTTGTTCCTGTCGGACATAGCGATCGGTGCCGGGATGGATAATAATTTCTCCCCCACAGCAAGAGATATTCGCCCGCCCGGCCTTCCTCTCCGTCTCCCGATATCCCCGAAAGTTTCGGGTTCTTCGACCCATGCAGTTGTCTGGAAGAGACTCCCCCGACTTTCGACCCGCAGAGGATAGCGACCATCCCCTGATATGTTGGAAATCGCTCGGAGCCTCTCGCTCCTGAGTGCCACGAGCACGAGTTACCGCCTCTAGCCCGCTGCTTAAGCTAGCCACCGAGGAGTGGGAACTACCGGAAAATGGGTTCCCTCTGCTGTGCGGGAAGTTCCCCAGCGGGTCGAAGGGGGAGCAGGAAACTCCCAAAATGTCCACTTCTCCGGGATCTCGAAAGTATCCGGAGACTCGAAGATCTCAAGCTTGCACCTCGAAAATGCGCTCTCATGCGTACTGATCCGTCTCCGATGAGCTCAAGGCTCCCGTCGACTCAATCCACTCCGACTTGAGAATATTGACGAGCTCTCGGAGACTGAAGATGTCGAGAAGCCGGTCCATGAACGTCCATGGCTTACCGTCTCGGAAGATAAAGTTTCCTCGATCGTTCTCCACCCAAGACCTTTGGGAAAGCTCTAGGCCCCCGATCAGCGATCAGTTTTGCGCACGAGGTGCTCAGTAGACGGAGTCCGTGCGGTCGCTGAATGCTCGCTGATTGAGCGCTATTGGTCCTCCACGGACACTTCCGACCGTCCGTGTGGCAATATCGAGGGACTCCGGAAGATTTCAGCCGAGATCGAGCCTTCCTCGATTCGAAATCCCTCCCGAGCAAGATGAAAATCCCTAAGCCGCCACGGTGTGCGTAACTCGCCACCGCACGCCTTCAGCGTCACGACTCCCTATCTGACGGAACTCGCGTTCCGTCGGATATACTCCCTTTCCTCCGAAGAGCAGTGCGTGTATTATCTGTCAAGTATGAACTGGCTCGATCGATTCGGATAATTTCTCCCATGGAGGACGGAAGCTGAAAGTCCCTAACTGTCTCGACTGTAATTAAATCGTGGCGTGTCTGCGACCTCGTCCATGAAAATCCGATCCTTCGCATAATCACCCTCCAGCCCGTCGACCGCCTCGCTTGGTGGGTATTTGATTGGAGCGATTTATTCCTCGAGGAGCTCCAATAATCTCGGAACTCGGGATTCCGGTAAAAGGACTCAAAATTGATATCTCCTCTTTTCTACCTCCAGAGGGTGAGCGGGATCATGAAGCGCGGCATCTTGGACAGTCCTCTCGCGACTGGGCCCAAAGCCAATTTCGCTAGGATTGGTTTATTGATGAACTTTGTTCTTTCGGTTTCTTCAATGGTTATCCTGAAATTTATCTTCTACAATTTCGAATTTCCGGCCCTGACCACAACCCTAGTCCACTTCAGCACGAGCACATGCCTTATGATCGCCACGCGTTTAACTCAGAGTATTCCTTGGGTCAGTCTCCGCTGGGGGCCGGTGTGTAAGCTCGGCGTTGGGTTTTCTTTATTGGTCACTTTCACAAACCTCTCGCTGTATCATAATTCGTTGATAAGCTTCGTGATGCTCAAAACCACAACTTTGATATGGATTCCGGTGAGTAGAGAAATGGGGCCTTCGTCCTTTTCGGTTCGGAGGAACTCTGGCTTTTCGGCACGAGATGTACAATCCGAGAGAAGGGACCATGTGATCTCATCGTGAGAGACAAACCGTCGATCAATTTCCAGGCAATGCACCGTCTTTTCTCAAACTTTATTTTCTCCTGGTCGACATTACTCGCGTTGTGTCCCGTGATCTCAGGAATTCTGTTACACTTCTGCTTCGAGCAAGATATGAATTCCCTCGGAATTTTGTACGGCATCCTGGGGGCGATGGTAACCTCTGCTTACCAGCTCTACCTTTCTGAGAAGCAGAAAGAAATGCAGGTAGGTCCTACTTAGTCCGAGCCAACGCAGAATCGGTCGTCATGAAAGAATTCTTCCCTCTGAGGAGACTCGGATGCCGGCGCTTTTTTTCCAACTTGACTGTTCTGTCCCACCGCCAATGTTGTTTGCAATGCTTATCTTCAAGGTGGACTCCCTCCAACTTCTCCTGTACGAGGCTCCTATCGGGGTCCTTCTGCTAATTCCGATTTCTTGGTACTTTGATCGGAGCGAGATATACGCGGAAAGCCCTGCTTTCACTTGGCACTTGCCGCTTCTCCTCTGTGAGTATACCCTACCTTCCCCATGAGATGGTATTTCAATCAGGAGTAGAGGGGAGAGGGGTCGGGACAGCGGTTGCAGACCTCCTGCTTTCTGACATTTTTTCTGATTCAAGTGGTCTCGGGTGCGTGTACGAGTATAGTACCCTTCACCGAGCAGTGGACCATTGGCCACACGTCAACCGCGGAATACAATGTCGTTAGCCAGATGAAGTTTGCTGTCACGCTCTTCATTGGCTATAATACGTTCAACTCGTTATCGTACAGGCCCATTCAAATTATGGGACACATGATGACCCTCAGCGGCATAGTTGTGTATACTCATCTGAAGGTGAGCTAGAACACTTTCCAGGGGATATCAGCTAGGTTCCGAGGGAGACGTCAGGTTTCTCGCCCACGAATCCCGAGAGCCAGCCACAATTAGGGGGGGCGATTAACGTATTTTCCGGGGCTATTTACGTATTTTTCCCGTTTGGCAGTTTGTTGAAATCACCCAAGCCGAAGAGGGCAAGAGAGATCGTGTTGTCTTCGATACAAAAAAAATTTGACGCTGGCAACCCACCTCAAGATGACGCTCTGCAGAATGAAGATTGACTTATCCAAAGACTCGCCGGCGAGTCATTGCATGTGTATAAATATTGTATTATGATGTAGAGAATATCCGCGCGACTCCGTGCTGCACAAATGAGCTCCCGATACACGGGCGGTGCGGGCGACCCATGGGAACGCCAAAAGAAGAATAAATATGTATTTATTCGATGGACTCGCCTTTCATTCCGCGTTACTTATGATTCGTTACTCTGACTAATTCATTACTCCTCGAGTTCAGTTCTCGCAATTGGAGGAGAATCTCCCCATCACTCAGATTCCCAAGGATGAAGTAGGCTCCCCGGCAGACCCTGTCCTATCGGCTCAATCTGACGCCAGCATGGCATACTGAGAAGAGTGTCTCGGATGGAGTCGTCAAACACAGAGTATCCGCACTTTCCAATCGAATGATCTGGACTGCGACATCTTACTTGCTTTTCAGACTCCTCTCCCGACAAGTCAGGGCTTATGGTTTCACGATACGAGCTGATGCAGCTGATGCTGCTGATGCAGGCAGTCACCCCAGATTCGCGCACGGAGACGGGATAGAGGCGAGAATAAGCTTCATGTCGACTTCAATCTTTGCTCGGATCAGCGGGGGATGCTTGAAGAAATCGAATCATGAAATTATCCACGAGGAAGAGTTATTCCGAGCTTCCATCCGGACTTGAGAGCTCGCGACGCTCATTGAGACGGGTGATAAGAAGACAGAGCGTTCTATGCCACCTGCGGTCGGGGGACTCGAACCTGCATCTAGGACCGCGTCTTCTCGATTGTCCCTCGCATCCTCCTGCCCTGCAGACCGTCTCGCAACGCCGCCCGATCAGTTCGAGCCTTCTCCGGCTCTCACTGACTGTTCCAGTCGCGTATTCGCGCAGCGTGATACATTTGTGGCGCGACATGGGACTGTGGTGCGGGTGAGGGGAACTTTCAAACAGCCGTTCGGCGCCCCAGACCCAGCTGAGCCGAGCGCGCTTAGTGACGCTGTCGAAGGAGAGCCTTCCCTGATATTTTTGAACCTTCCCCCTAAGGGTTGGAATTTTGGAAAGTGGAGAGGATCGGGATCCCCAGTGCTCGCTGAATTGGTTCGAGGAGGTACGGAGATCAACACGAAGGCTGGAGGAGGATCCTTGACGAATTTCTTCATTGGTACGAACGTGGTGCCATGACCGCCTTTGACCGTTGACGATGGAAAAATCCGATTTTGAAAAATATACGGTTCCAGGTGTACGTTTCTGAAGATTGTGGGAAATATTTATCCCGGGAAGCGGGGTTCTCTTTGTCCGTTTACCGTGTCCGCTGGCAGCGCCGAAAATGAGCGCCAAACACAGCATCCAAGGCGAGAAAAATCAAAACATCAAAGTCTACGTGAGATGTCGGTGAGTTCAATCACGATACTCCCGTAATCATTTCGGGTCGAGGATTGAATCGGGAGTTTCATTCAGAGAGAAGTCAGTAGGTCGAGGAGCGTCCCGGTGGAAAAGACGGTTCTGGGAGGTTGACAATGCGCAAGTTGCCGGCGAATGCTGTCTAAGGTGCGCTCCTACTCGATGCATGGAGACGTTTCGGGCTCGATTCCAACAGACTTCCCGCCAAGTCAGACACGGCCCTGCACAGAACAGAAGTTGCTGTGGGACGAATTCCCGCGGATTATGAGGCTCTGCTGTGTCGCTGATGCGAGTCTGTGTGGATTCATAGTCGGGCCCGTTGAAGGGTATCTCGGAACGTCGCTTGGTGCTGGTCCGGGGCTTAGTGAACGGGAACATGAATAACGAGGAGGACCCCATCTTCGAGGGGCAGCGAATCGGAGAGCGAATCGATCCGTGAAGTCCCATGATGAGCCTCTCTCTCGGCCCTGAAACCGGACTTGCTCCTGAGATCCGGGGGCCTCCCTCCAGAGCTGCAGCGGGACCTTTCTTCTATTGAGTTTATTAATTCCAGTCCAATAAACGACCAAGAGCGCAAAGCGCGCAGCCAGATGTGCGTCGATGTGGTCGAACAGCGCCGATGCATCACTGTGAAGAGCCACCATGAGAAAACCTTCACGTTCGATGGAACTTTTGGAAAGGATTCCTCCCAGATCGACGTCTATAAGAGCGTGGTCCAACCTCTTATCAGCGAAGTTCTTCGAGGCTATAATTGCACTGTGTTCGCTTACGGTCAAACCGGAACGGGGAAAACCTACACGATGGAAGGCATACGGTCTCAGACCTTGCTTTCGTGGCAGCACGACCCCCACGCCGGAGTGGTCCCCCGGTATGCTACCCAAAATAGATCGGCGCCCTTCATGAAATCGTTCCGGGTGAGCCTACACTCGGGGGGTTCGACACTCACTCGCATTTGTTTTTTCCAGAGCTCTCCACCAGATATTCTCCGAAGTCGGGGATCCGGAGCTCACTATCATCAAAGTCTCCTTCCTAGAGTTGTACAACGAGGAGCTATTTGACCTTCTCGGTTCCGGAGAGGCTCAGACCTCCAAGCTTAAGATTTTCGAAGACTCCACCGCGAAAGGATCCGTGGTGGTCAGGGGCCTCGAGGAAGTAGTCGTTCGAGATCGGCAGGAGGTCTATTCGCTGATGGAACGAGGAGCATCGCGGAGACAGGTCGCTGCGACCCTGATGAACGCGTCGAGCTCGCGGTCTCACACCATCTTCACAATCACTGTCATCTCCAGAGACACGACGGATACAGGAGAAAACCTGATGCGAACCGGTAAACTGAATCTGGTGGACTTGGCTGGCAGCGAGAATATCGGCAGGTCGGGAGCACAGGACAAACGAGCGCGTGAAGCTGGGAATATCAACCAGAGTCTCCTGACACTTGGCCGCGTCATCACGGCCCTCGTCGAGCGAACACCACACGTGCCGTATCGGTACGTTGCTCCTGATTCTCGCTTTATGAGAACAGACGATGAACGCGATACATCACAAATCCATTCTTCTCGAGAGAATATCTTTCTTCACTTTCCGTGACTTTTCCGCTTCTCAGAGAGTCGAAGCTCACGCGTCTCTTGCAAGACTCGCTGGGCGGTCGGACCAAGACGTCGATCATCGCAACGATTTCCCCGGCACATGTCAATCTCGAGGAAACTCTATCGACATTGGAATATGCCTTCCGTGCGAAGAATATCATGAACCGTCCGGAAGTGAACCAGAAGTTGTGCAAAGAGGTCGTTCTGAAGCACATGACGGACGAGCTAGAGCAACTCCGACGAGATCTCATTGCGTGTCGAGAGAAGAACGGTTTCTACATCGACGAGACGAATTACAGGTGCGTCTCGCACCGGAGCGTCCGGATTTCAATTTCAAAATTTATCGTCATGCTCAGAAAATCTGAGAATTCCAGTCCAATGAGCTAAAAGTTCAAGGCCAATGGGTCGCCGCGATGATTTGAAGGACCTTGGTTTCTTATGGACAGCTTGGTCCCGATTTCGATGGTCTCCCGAACGGGATCTGATCATCCATTCGTTTGCTCCCGCAGGTCGATGCAAAGCAGATTGGATCTACAGTCTGAGGAGCTCCAGCGAAAAGCCGAGGAGATGACAGAGATGGCGGAACGCATTGATCTTCTGAAAGCAAAGATTGAGGACATCAACCGACTTTTCGAGGATACCCAACAAAGACTCGAGATCGAGAGTCGATGCAAGGAAATTGCTCAATCGAGGTCCGTATCGTAAACTACTCCTCAGTGAGAGGACTTTTGAGTGCGTGAATCCGCTTTTTGAAAATATCCGTGTGTGATTATTAGAACTGGTCTTGTACAAGCTTCTCCTCCTCGATCTCATACAGACTAAAAGAAGTGAACTACAACTACACGGCGGCGAAGGTTCTCGTCAAAGCTCATCAGAAGACCGAGGAAAAACTCCACGAACATGCCTCTAAGCTGATTGACACTGCTCTGCTGGCCAAGTCCGATATTCACAAACTCCACGACAAAGTAGAGAGACAGCGTGAGGTGGAAACTCACAATTCGACCGTCATTGATAGATTCGGTGGTGAGCAGATATTGCATCGAGTTTCATAAAATGAGTCGACAAAAACGCCAGAGCTCGAAGGGATCCTTATACAAGACGCTTGAAATGTTGTTTTCGATCCCTCAGCTCTTCTCAGCTCATCCTTGGATTCGAGTGCTCGTCGAGCGGAAGACGCTGCTGAGGTTTTGGCTCAAACTTGTACTCTGAAAGACGACGGTCTCCTTCGTAGCCTGCAGGAAGAGGGCCGTTTGCTACAGGAAGTAGACGGCCTACTCGGGAATTTGGTCAGGGAGCATCTCGAGAACAAAGAAAAATTCCTGAATAAGATCTCCCGCGTTAACGATATCGCCTCGAGCTCAATACAGGCATTGGAACGAATCGATTCTGAATTCGATGACTCGTTGAAGCGAGTCAATTCTCGGGTCACGAGCAAGCTACGCTTGGACCTGACCGAGGAGCTGAACAAAATGAGGAACTCAACTCTTTGCGAGATCGCTGACATCATGAAGGTGGCTTCGAGCAACGAACGAGTGGTAAAGGAAGCGTGCGGCAGCCTAAAGGTAGCTGTGGCTTCTTCGGCAGATTCGGCAAGGACGCTGGAGACCCGGTTCGTCTGATTCTTATGATGATTATTGAGCTGAAGTTGAATTCGACGAGGGGCTTCTGTCGGGTCATTCTCGAATCCCATTGTCTTTTCAGGGCAAGAGAGAGATACGCGGCTTGCAATGCGGAGAAAGCCAAAATAGAAGAGATGTTCGAGGCTCTGAGGAAAGCAATATCTCAGACATTGACGATGGAGAACGGTTTCATTGGAGAAGCCGTCGAGCATTCGAAACATGCTCTGAAAGGAGCATCTCAAGCTTCCAATGCGATCGAGGACGTGCTGATGAACAACGCTCAAGCCACGGCTGAAATCGTGTCCCACGCCGAGCGCCTCAAAACGGCGGTGAGTCGCAGCAATCGAGATGCGCGTTCCTCAATCGCTCGGGATAACGCCCAGTATTCGGAGTTGACAATATTCATTCCGTAACAGGTCGGAACTTGTGACGAGGAACAGCAGAATATCGCCTCCGCTTGCGTGGAGAGCATAAAACTGGATCTCGGCAAGTTCCAGGATAAACTCCGCGCGAGTACCCAAACAACCAGCAAGGTGAGATGGCGCCCCATCGGGTCAGATGCTTCGTTGAGGGACGCAAACGCATCAAAAACATCGAATGCGGCTGCTCGTCCAATGATTCCGGGGGAATACGTGACGACCTTCACAGTGATGCATGATTGGCTCTTAGGAAAAGGCGAACTAAAATTATCAAGAATTTTAGGACCTAAAAGAGCTGATACGAATCGGTGAGGAATCTATCACCGGATTCGAAGAGACGTCGAATTCGGAAACGAGGGACTTGACCACGCTGGCTCTCAACGTTCTGAGCGGCACGAAGTCGATATCTGAAACAAGAGATAAGTTGTCGAAACTGAAGGAGGAAGTCGCGGACGTCATCAGCGGGAGCGTGAAGGTAATTCATGAGAACAGCTCAGTAGTCCGGCTCGGATATACATGGTGAACTGTGTCGGGGGTCCTGCAACCATCCTTCGCTCTGGTCGATGGGAACCGCGCAAGACAACCCCGATCCCTAGCCTGAGCCGATATCGATTCTCCTTCCAGAGCTGTCAGGTGACCGGTACAACTCCAGCGCGACGAAGTTACGAAATTCCCCGGAATCTAGCGCGCACCCAGCCCGCGGATATTCTCCAAGCAAAAATGCAGAAAAAACTCGAGGAAGCGACCATCGAGGAACGAACAGCGTTGGACGAGGGTCAGAGCATCCTTCTCGACATCACCGCAAGTCCGGAAACACTGGACTTCGATTCGGACGAGGTACAGTCTGACTCAAACTCTAGGAGCGACTCAAGAGCTGATTATTTTCTCCGATGATCTCCCAAGACAAGGTTCGAATCAAACAGTCCCCTGACGCTTCTGACCTCCCGCAGGAAAAGGAAAATTACCTCGTTGAAACCGATGGTTGATCGTTGTGATAGTTCGGCAACTGTCTGGTCACTGCTGCAGCGCATGGTGCTAACGGAGTGGATATCGTTTTACTATCATCGACTTCGGTGGCCGAAGACATGAAAGGAAGGACAACTGGTAGCGGATGTCAGGGAAGGATACCGCAGACATACCTATGTAGCTATTCTGCGAATGGATCGTCATCTATCGGGGTCATTTTGACTGATGTTCTCCAAGGACAGATGGGAAAAATGAAAAAACTTGACAGCTGTAATTGTGCTCACGTTTTCGCGAAGAAAATTTTATCAGATTGATTCTGGTCGCATAAGCCCTATGGTTGTGGGCGTGAGATGAAATTTCGCATGGTCCTGTAGCTATTGACTGTTGAATTGAGTATTCACGGCACAGAATCGCGAAGGATTTGGTGGCGTCCTCGGCTGATTGATAATTGGGTGCAGTTTCCCAGACAGACAAATCTGGAGCTGTGTTCCATTGGGCTGCTCGAATTGTACGGAATTCAGATACTGCGACGCGCTGCTTGTAATAAAAAATTCTCAAACGGTTTCTCGAGCTCCCCCGTGTCTTCCTCGCGAGCGATCCATTTGAAGGCGAACCCCTCGGGGCCAGAGCCGCAACTGAACTTCAAGTCAGGGTGCGAAATCATGCATTTTTATCGTGCTTGGCAAAGCGAACGGGATCAGTCATTCAGAAACAGGCTGCTCCCCCTGGCAAGAATCGTCGGCCGGGTCCGAGTCTCCGGCAGAGTCTGAATCTCCTCTCCGGTCGTTCTCGCCATTGTCATCGATCTGCTCTGTTGGCTCGGATTCCTCCATTTCGTCACTATCTTGATGCTCTTCGGACCCGCCTCCATTGTCTCCGGCCCCGCTTCCGGCCACCAGGAGGGCCTTCAAATCGAGCATGGTCCCGCCCTGAGCTAAGATGGCTCCGCCGAGAAGTTTATCCAATTCTCAATCGTTTCGAATAGCCAGTTGGAGATGTCGCGGCGTGATCCTGGTTCTCTTGTTGTCACGGGCAGCGTACCCGGCGATTTCAATCACTTCAGACACGAGATACTGGAGCACGGCGGCGAGGTAGACGGGAGCTCCGGGAGCCACGCGCTCGGCATAGTTCTCTTTGCGGAGCAGCCGCTTGATGCGAGCGACAGGGAATGTTAGCTCAGTTGGGCTCGACCGTGTTGCTGAGCCATCGCGACGATACTCGTCCCTGTGAGACATAACTCCTCAGAAGCGATCGATATCCAATACACAGATCAGAACGATCGTTGTCGATTTCGAATAGAGAAGCGGTGATCTCACGATATCATTGATGAGAATACTCCTTGACTCATTCTCTCCCAAGAGCTTCGTTATATAAAGGATTGCTCCGAAGTGCTCAGCTCAACGAAAGTCTATCTAAACTAAGCTCTGACATCGGAAGACAACGACCATGGCCCCTACCAAGAAAACTTCTTGCGCTAACGATCCCCGGAAGAAAGATGGTAAACCGTCGATGAAAACCTTGGAGAGCAAGCGGAAAAGATCGTTTTCGAGATACGTACGACGGCTTCTTAAAGAGATGAAGCCGAAATTCACCCTCCAAGCGGAAGCCGTGGCTGTTTTGAACGAGCTCGTGAATGATACCTATGAGAGAGTCGCAGCGGAGGCCTCCCGGCTATCCCTATACCACGGAAAGCCTGAGATAACCCCGAGAGAGATCGAAGCCGCGATCAAAGTTCTGTTCCCCGGTGATGTCTCGAAGCATATGAATTTGAATAGACCAATGGCCGCTCTAGAGAACCAGGATGAATAAATTGCGATTTCCGTAAAACTCCCCCGAAGTCGTTTAGGTACATACATAGATCCTCTGAAGATACCTCGTTATCTCGTGAAGGGCGTTGAGTCTCGACTGCGTAGTGTCCGCGGTCTGGGACTGGGAGATATCTAGGTTGCAGTGAGAGCGGAATGTGTGGGGCAAGGGTGACGTACATACCGTTAAGGGAACGAAAATTCAGTCTGCTCCCCTGCCGGCAAAAATAAGCCTTAATTTCGATCGCGAATCCTGATCTAACGATTCATGATAAGGGAGGGAATATATCTTACCTGTAATCCTCACTCCTTTCGGAGCATCAAGTTGGCTTCTACACTGAGCAAGATCCTCGGAAACCTGTTTTCGACCCGCCGGCCCGTTGGGCATTAGCGATCAAAACTCCCAGCCCACTGCCCTGGGTGAATCGATAGATTCGGCTGCAGCTTACGGAGCTTCGTCCTGACTCACTTCCAGGAATTTTCGCGGGATTCCCGAAATCGATCGCACCCCAACAAAATCTGCCCTTGGAACTCTGAGTAATTGAGAGGGATCGAGTTCGTCGCTCCCGCCTTCATGAGCAATTGCAACAACGAAGAATTCATCTCGGAACTCCGCTCATTATTGGGCTCCGAAACTTGAGCGACCCCAAACTGTTCCTACCGCGGGTCTCGACATATGATCGAGAGACTTCATGCATCGAAAGTTTTGAATCCATCGGGCTGTCATTTTTGAGACAGGATGGAACCTCGAAAACGAGACGATCAGTCCTGGACAAGCTCCGAGCCGAAGGCGAGCGATGCTCGAATCGAACCATGCTTACCCGAAAACTCAGGGAATCCAAGCGTCCAAGTTTTGAACCCAGTTCCGAGTGGTTGGTTCCCGGCCAGCTCGTCAACGGAATCTTCCAGTCAAATGAGGATGCTATTCGACCCCGCAAACTATGTCGGTAGATACCCCGGCATGCGTTTCAACTACGGGAGAGGAGGGCTCCGTTCGAGTCCAACCGATCAGCATCCTGCCCACGGGATCGTGTACAGGGAGGAAAAGGACCGGATAGGTAGAGTATATGGTTTCGGCCTACGTTTGAACCTTCGCCTCATGAACAGAGATGGACGTATTCTTTGGAACCAATGTGAATACGGAAGAGGAATAATTCAAAATTTTCTCTGTGGATCTTAGTGAACACGAATACTCCCGTGGGGGGCACGTATTCTTGTTCCTATCAATGAATTACTAGAAATTTTCGGTGATGGAAGATTTTAAGTTCCGCGAAAACAAAGTGAGCCATGGCGGCTAGTCAGGATAAATACAAACAAGTATGCCCCATTCAGTTGAAACAGAGGACAAGACATCGGAAAGCAGCAGAGACATCCGAATTGAATCGAAGGACATCCGAGCAGTCTCGAAACACCCATCGGTGTCGATGTTCCAAGGTGGGTGATCTCTGCGATTCTCGCAACGTCCCGAATTCATAATGACTAGAAGACCCACGATCAGCATGAGCGATATCAGGGAAGTCTCGCCTTAGACTCGGGGTGTTTCATGAGATCGGATTGCGAGTTTTCACATAATTGTTCCGGATGCAACGCGTCGCAAATGACCTAATATGATTCCCCCCCGTTGGATGGAAATTATCGATTCTGCGGCACAAAAGTCAGATCTGCGATACGCGACGCGAAAGCGAAAGTTTTCAATCTAATCGGTGCTGATGAGCCCTGCTCTGACGATCTCTTGGCTCTGTGGGTCGAGCAACCGATATGCTCCGTCAGATAGAGCAACAGAATCACTGTGCATGCACACTTTAGGTAGTATAACGATAGAAAAACCCCTTCTCCCCTCATTCCTCGAAATAATTAATCTGTTCGACCCCCATCTGGAAGAGAGGAAAATGATTTCCATACCGAAGACGCCTAAGAAATCAGCAAATATAAAGTCCAAGCGCCAGTCAACAAGAGACGGTATGACTATTTCTATGAGAGGAGCTCGATATGCTAATAATCTCCCGACCTATCTTCAATCCACAATGTCGTTCCCCGCACAGAGATCAAGGCACTAGGTAATCGGAGGAGAGCTCTCAAGAAGCTGTTCAGAAGTAATCCAAAGTAAGTGGGGCATTCATGCTTTATGGAGTGTCTTGGTGGGAGATTCAGCTGGGAATGCCTCCAGAGCCAGTCCGAGCAATTTCGTTCTCCCTCCGCTGAACATTTTGATGCGTCTTCCTCTGCAGGACAGTCGAGAATACAATCGTGAACATCGAAACGTTCCTAAGAGACAGCCGTAAAGTTCGCCTGCATCGATCCCCCAGACATCACTGGGCGATGGAGGTTTCCTGCCTGACATTGTTCGAAGTATATTTGAAGCTGAAGAAAAAATCTGTCACGTTTGAGCACGTGCGGGAAAACCTCGAGAACATGTATGCCCTTGTAGATTTCCTGGATGTTGAGAGTCCATCCGCAGCTCAGGTATGAATTTTCGGCCTGAAAGTTTTATTCCGTTCGGGGACTTGTCAGAATGGCGAACGAATCAGCAATATCGGAGTCTCTGGTCGGAGTCTCGTTCGCGGTCGGCTTGAGTTGGCAAATCTTCCCCAGTACCTGGCAAGACAACTTAAGCGGATGATGATCCTACTGGCGGATCTCTCTTCAAAACTCGAGCACTACGCTGGACTGAAAGCAACGAAATGGACTATGGTAGCCGAGACTCTCACGCCAATTATCGAGAGACAGGAACACGACACATCGCTCGCGGACTCCATTCCGAGCATCAAGGATTTCAGTGTCTCGCGCATACTAGGTGAATGGAATTTCCGATGCTCGCACAGCAGACATGGTCGCGGTCTCCCGCATTCTTCCATCGTTCCTTTTATCTCCACGCTCACAATCCGATCCTCCCCAATAGGCGCGGGGGGTTTCGGCGCTGTTTACAAAGCAAGATACGGGAGCGAAACTGATTTGAGGCGTGGCGTTTTCTGCACCGTGAAGCTCGTACCTAGAGCAATGTTCGAAGTGGCCAAGCACGCTTGTGTAGACAAAGTTGTCGGTAGCTGCAGCAGGCATCCGTTCATCGCCAGGTGAGCCAGCCGGACTCCGGATTGCGATTCTTACCGAATCATCCCATCCGATTTTTCGACTTCCTCGATCTTAATCACCCGTTTCGATTACGTTCCACCGATAGGTACTTCAGTACCTTCTTATCGAGTCAGGCGTTCGTAACCGTTCAAGAGTATATACGAGGGGTCGACTTGAGTCGTGCTGTCAAACGGCAGAAGGGACTCAAAGAAGAGCAGGTCCGACTGATAATGGCCCAAGTGGGCCTCGCTCTGAATCATATGCATCTCAAGGGCTTCATACATCGGGATATAAAGGTCGGTGAGCTTTCCCCCAAGTCTCTGCATGGCCTCGTCCCCGGAAGTCGATCGAAGGTCCAGTTGGCATCGTCGCCCTTCTCCCCGTTCCAGCCTTCGAACATGATGGTGATGCCCGGCTGCGTCGTGAAGCTCATAGATTTCGATACCATCAAGATCGGTATTGGATGTTTCACCCAGAAGAAATTGAACACGTACAACGCACGGACATACTGCGAGTTCAACGATAGGGAATCCGCCGGCACGCTCCCCTATTTCCCCCCCGAAGTCATCAAAGTTCAATACTACGGACGAGCTCTGGACTGGTGAGTTCCCACGGCGCGGTGATATCCGGCCGCGATCGGACTGCGATCAGTCGAGATAAACGCGTCCCACTGACCGAAGTGTGGTCGCGTCATCTCTCTAGAATTCGAAGGATGATCAGGTCACTTCAGGGCCCAGTCCTTATTATTTCTCACGTTCGCGAACGATGCTCTATTTCTACGTTCACCCAAACATTCTAATCTCGCTCCCAAGGTGGGCTGTCGGTGTCACTACCTACCAATGTTTCTTCGGCAAACTCCCCTTCCGGAACGAGAAGGACGACGAGGACTTGAAGAGGAAAATCATCGAGTGCAAATATCAACTTGAGCTCAACGATATCAGACCAAGCTCGGTGCTGAGGGACTTCATCACTCAATTAATGACGAAGAAGGTTTCGAGTGAGTCTTCAGACCTGGATTCAGGTTGAGGATCATAGAATCGTCCTATTTTCGAGCATGGTTCCAGATATCGTTGAGAGGGCAACTGTCCAATTCTTACAGTGCGCCTGTGCTCAAAGTCGTTCAGCGAGTACTTGAATCACGACTTCTTCGCTGGTATCAGTTGGAGCCAGATCGAGAGAGGTCAAGTCACTCTTCCGTGCCAAGGCATCGACAGCCTCTGCCAAGTGCAGAATAGCGGCGTCTGCTCCCCGATACCACCTGATAAAGATTTCGGCGACGAATACCTCAAATTGAGCGAACAAAAGGTAACCATCAAACTCGAAAGGGGAATTCCGTCTGACTGATCATGGGATTAGGTCGCTAGAATGCTTCTTCTGATCTGAACAGGAAAGCAAAGACCAGATCGAGCTCTTCACGTATTTGTCCCCCGGCTTCCGGAACGTGATGCAGAAACATCACAGACGGCAGCCAATGAACGAAGGAGATTTGGAAGACCCGCCGGAAGCGCAACCTAAACAGACAACAAGGAGATACCGCTTCGGGAATTATTTGTACCGACCCAAGACAAGGAAGAGCAAGCGGGGGACTGCCAGAAATGCTTGAGAATCGATGGGGATATATGGTGTGTAGGAGCAGGAAGCACGTCACTTTTGGACATTACTTGGAGAAGGGAAATATAATTTTTGGGCTCAGTCCCTTCGCCCTCACAAGGCACATACTCTTGTACTCCAATTGCCCTGTCTTGTACACTATCAAGCATACTCTCGCACCGGATCTGAGGGAGCCCGTCTCCCATTCTTCCAAGGACTGTCGAGACTAGGAGGGACGAAAGCCCCGGGGAATCCGGCGAAATAGTGGTCTTTCTGTGAATAATCATGAGATCTCTGAAAACCCCTCAGGCCACTGGGGTAGCTCATCTCGTGTATTTTGGTGGCCCTGAGAAGGGCCGTTTTTTTTGGGAGGAACGATTGAAATCGTTTACTTGGAGGAGGTGTATTTCGTGACAGCCTTGGTTCCTTCAGAGACGGCGTGCTTGGCCAACTCTCCGGGGAGAAGGAGCCTCACAGCGGTCTGCACTTCCCGGGAGGTGATGGTCGACCTCTTGTTGTAGTGGGATAGACGAGAGGCTTCAGCGGCGATACGCTCGAAGATGTCGTTGACGAACGAGTTCATGATCGACATGGCTTTCGATGAGATACCAGTGTCGGGGTGAACTTGTTTCAAGACTTTGTAGATGTAGATAGAGAAGGATTCCTTCCTCCTGCGCTTCTTCTTCTTCTTGTCGGTCGCGCGGACGTTCTTCTGGGCCTTCCCGGCCTTCTTCACAGCCTTTCCACTCGCTGCAGGCGGCATCGTTCAGCTCGGGCTCAAACGAGGTTGAGTGTTTAGAGCGCGCATCTTGTATTTAAGCGATTTGAGCCGGGCGAAAACAGCGCCAACTCCGCTCGCCCTGAGAGAGGGCAATGGTCGGCGCCGCCTGTGCGGCGTCGTATATAAAGCGAGGATCACCCCGTGAGAGCATTCGTTGCTTTTTCGAAAACGATTTTGTAAACATGTCTGGACGCGGTAAGGGAGGAAAGGCCAAGTCGAAGGCCAAGACCAGGTCTTCTCGTGCGGGGCTTCAGTTCCCCGTTGGTCGTATCCACCGTCTTCTCCGTAAGGGAAATTACGCCGAGCGTGTCGGAGCTGGTGCCCCCGTGTACCTCGCTGCCGTCCTCGAGTACCTGGCTGCTGAAGTTCTTGAGTTGGCAGGAAACGCCGCTCGTGACAACAAGAAGACCAGAATCATCCCCCGTCATCTTCAGTTGGCCATCCGTAACGACGAAGAATTGAACAAGCTTCTCTCTGGTGTTACCATCGCCCAGGGAGGTGTCCTTCCCAACATCCAGGCTGTTCTTCTCCCCAAGAAGACCGACAAGGCCGCCGCCTAAGTCTCACCATCGGAAGCGGAAAAAAAACGGCCCTTTTAAGGGCCACCAGAATCTACGAGATCAATACTCAGCTTATCTGTTCCATTCAATCGCATGATATCCGTCCGCAGGATTTTGGCTGCCGATGTCTCCCGCAGAATCCGCGACATCCATCGATTACGCCTTACGCGCGATTACACATCCACCTTACGTATCGATCAATGTGTACCGATGGCGACCTGTTGTCCTGATCAAAGTCATCCTGGGATACTTGGGTAGATGCTTCATGAATTAATGATATCGCGAAACTATCCGAAGACGGAAAACGTTAACAGCAGAGGTTTCAGCTTACTGGCAAGAAATCGCACGTGCCCTCGGAGTTTTGATCCGTCTGCGATTCGACATTGATCAATATCAGCAAATGAGTCGCTCGATTGTGTGGCGGAAATCGCAGATTTCAAGTCAGCAATTCTCGATGCCACGGTGAATCGACGGACGCAACCAGTCCGCGAAAGTATGCTGGAGTTTTCGGGACGCTAGGGAGCCATGATTAGGGATGTAAATTTTTCGCAAACCGCGATTTTTCCGCGAATTTTCGCGGAAATTCCCGGCTACTCCCCATAGAGTTTCAATGAAGGCCGCGAATTTGGCGGAAATTCTCCGCGAAAAATTCACATCCCTAGCCATGATGATTATTATTATTCACTGAAGGACTTAGATGTTCAAAAACATTCATAGGAATAGGCCTTTGGAATCAAACGAATGCTCCGACCGGATCCATGTTAGCCATTCGGGGCACTGGATGCCAAGGATCACATCAAAGAAGAAATCATCGATCAAGTTCCATGAATCGTGGTTAGTAGATATGAGCGGCCGCGTCGAGCTGAAGGCCCCATGAATGAGCGATATGGTCCACTCCTTGCAGATTTCCTTGACTCCTGTCGCGGATCGGATCTCTCATCGGATCGCAAAATCTCATAGGAAGTTTCCCGGAAGGAATGACTTCGCGAGAGGATAGTGAGCTTCTTAAGTTTGGTGGCCCTGAAAAGGGCCGTTTTTTTGCGACCGCAAGGCCGATGGGGAGAGATTTAACCTCCGAAACCGTAGAGGGTACGTCCTTGTCTCTTGAGAGCATAGACGACGTCCATGGCGGTGACGGTCTTCCTCTTGGCGTGCTCGGTGTAGGTGACAGCGTCACGGATGACGTTCTCCAAGAAGACCTTGAGGACACCTCGGGTCTCCTCGTAGATCAGACCAGAGATACGCTTGACTCCACCACGACGAGCCAGACGACGGATGGCGGGCTTGGTGATACCCTGGATGTTGTCACGCAAAACTTTACGATGACGCTTGGCGCCGCCCTTTCCAAGACCTTTTCCTCCCTTGCCGCGTCCAGACATGTTTCCTCGGATAACAGAATCTGAATGCTCGGCTTCAAAATGGAGTCGTTTATATACGCCCGGAGGGCACCGTCGATCGCTAACATGGGTTCCGAGGGGAGAGGAGAATGGTGCTCTCCTTTCACCCGCCACCGGCGTGAGCGCGCCAATTCCGTGAATTCGTATTTCTAGAACAATATTAGAGGAGCTTGACATCATTTCTGAACCTATCGAATGCGATCTCCTCATATTGAGAGAGAAGTTACCAACTTTCTTCATGAGCCTAAATTATTCTTTCCGATTACATATTTCGGGGCTCATAGATTGTTCGTTGTGAAACTCCTCCCCCAACGCTCCTCTCTCCCATGCTCCAGACCATAAAGGCTCGACGGCACCTCGAGAAACCTTCATTGTCGAAACTAGACTTCGAAGTTCGTTATCATGGCTCGTACGAAGCAAACCGCGCGTAAATCCACTGGAGGAAAAGACTCCTCGTAAGCAGCTCGCCACCAAGGCTGCTCGTAAGTCCGCACCAGCCACCGGTGGAGTCAAGAAGCCCCATCGTTACAGGCCCGGTACCGTGGCTCTCCGTGAGATCCGTCGTTACCAGAAGTCGACTGAGCTCTTGATCCGCAAGTTGCCCTTCCAGCGACTTGTTCGTGAAATCGCTCAGGACTTCAAGACCGATCTCCGTTTCCAAAGCTCAGCCGTCATGGCTCTCCAGGAGGCCTCTGAGGCTTACCTCGTTGGACTCTTCGAAGACACCAACTTGTGTGCCATTCACGCCAAGCGTGTCACCATCATGCCCAAGGACATCCAACTGGCTCGTCGTATTCGTGGAGAACGTG